CTCTCTCTCTCTCTCTCTCTCTCTCTCTCTCTCTCTCTCTCTCTCTCTCTCCCTCTCTCTCACTCCCTCTCTCTTTAGGTGCTTATTTCCCTTTTCATTTAAACTAATGGAGAGATGATTTTGTATCTGTTTTAGACTTTGTCCTATTTCTTTGATGTACCTCTGTCCATCTTGCTTTTTACTAACTTGAAATGACCGCTTTCATATCTATATATGCTTATTTTGAACTCAAACTTGTAAAACTTAAACATGTTGTCTGGTGTGAACATAGCCTGTTCATTAAAGAAAAAACCTCTCTAAAGTATTAAGTTGTAAACTGGAGGTGGTCATTTCCTAGCCCGGTTGCTCAATTTTACTGGGGGTGTTCTCCTAGTTATGTGGTTTTGGCATAGGGTTTACAACGATTAATTAGAGGGTTGCATTCATGCCTCTGCCACATATATGATGTACTTTTGCTTTCTTCTAAAAGTCACTTTATCTTGATTTAATGGACGTTGTTTAACATAATATTATCACGCTGGGCTTTAGTGCAGATGACCAGGGTTTTAATCCCCATTGGGACGTTGTTGAGCTTACATTGTCAGGGGAGTTTTCAAGACTCCCCATTGTCTTTACTTGTTCTATCGGAGAAATGTGTTTTAAAACTTCGGACCTCTTGATTTATAGTTTACGGTATTGAAAGAGGTACTAACAAACTTGTACAAATAGCATTTAACTGCTTGGCTTCGTCTCTTGTCTCTGTCTGTCTTTCTTTTTCATTTCTAACAACAGATGACTGTCATCACTTCGATATGCTTCTATTCACTTACTACACTCACTTAGTTTTGGGATTTTTCATTTCCAGTACCAAATGATTATATCCATGTGCTTCTCTTTACCTGTTTGCCTGACCAAATTAATGCAAAAGACAGTGTCCGAGGGCCCAGATGGCTATTTTGCTACATAAATGTTTTATTATTATTTCCCCGGGAGGGGTTTGAGATGGTAAATTTTAATGAACCTGAACGTGAAGCAGTGTTGGTGTTTGTTTGGAAGGATTACAAGAATATTAACTATGGCTTTGGCTTTGTACTTCTTAGAAGCTTTCTTCTTCTTTCACTACTGTCAGCATGGAGAAGCTATGTACTTGTATGGGTATATGTGTGTGTGTTTGTATTTGCGTGTGTGCAGGGGTCCATGCGCGCGTGTGTGTGCATGTTCACATGCGTGTGTGTGTGTGTGCTTGTGCGTGTTTGTTTGTTGTGTGGGTGTGCATATTTCACATATCACAATGTTTTCTTGCTCGTAATGGAATATCCTGCCCTTTTTTTTTATTGCCACAAGACAATAATTATGGGATTGTGTTCGCTTACGCTCCAGATTAAAAGACTGGCATGGGTTTTGTGTGTTCATCTTCTTTTTGACTGTTTTATACGTATTTTTCCGAGTGGTAGGAAGGCATGTATTATATAAAGGCACAAACAACGCGATATTGTGACACAAAAAAGTACTTTCTTTACTACTACTACTACTACTACTACTACTACTACTACTACTACTACTACTACTACTACTACCACTACCACTACCACTACCACTACCACTACCACCACCACTACTACTACCACCACCACCACCACCATATATATGTCTCCTTTATGTGAAGAGCTTCTCAAAAGCGCATTCGAGGTCTGTGAAGATTAGTCCATCTGTGGAGGACGTAACATTATATAAGGGGGAAAGGGGGAGGGGGGTGTTGCTCAGTTGATGTCAAACTGGAATACGGTGCTGATGGCCCTGGATCGAAAACATGCCTACCGGGACGTTTCTGATCTTTGCTTGTTTGGGGAGCCACGCCGGCCCTACTCGAATGTGAACCCTGGACTTTTGTGAGTTCGTCAAATTTGTCAACGCAAGTATCGTACCCAACAAAGGCTGATGTATTTAATTCTCTTTACTGTAACCTGTGAAAAATGGAACTCACTTCAGCTTCTCCTGCAGAAAGGTGGGCTCTGTCATTTCGTTTTGGACAACCGTTAGCTCTGTTAATCTATATAATATTAAAATTCTGAGATGTGGGATGACCCGGATTCGAATCCCTGGGGCGTTTTTATAAACTTAAGATCTGAGAAGTTTCCAAAACTTTGTTCTATCCTATTTCTTCAGATGGACATTGAATTCAGAGGATTATCTTCTTTTATTGACTTTCAGTGTTGGAATAAGTTTTTAAACCCAACTGAATTACATTTGAACCTTCCCAAGACGACCACTTATTGACGAGGAGAAAGGTTGTCCTTCTAAATAGGTGATCGCCTTTGGCAGTGATGGTACAACTGTTAAAAGAATGAAACAGCTTTCTTTTTTCTATATTTAGCAATCCGTACAACTTAGTCAAATGCTTGCTTCCGTGTGTGTGTGTGTGTGTGTGTGTGTGTGTGTGTGTGTGTGTGTGTGTGTGTG